CGTACCGGGTCCGACGTACAGGGCCCGTTTTCTGCCATGCCAATGGCATTGCATGGACTTCTTTCTTCTTTCGCAGCACCTACCTTTATCCGAGTCTCTACAAACAACGCCTGGAAGGTGACCCCCTTCTGCTACCTTTCGATGGTACCCCTTCAAATACCATAGGAAGTCGCTTCTGGTCCCTCCACTGCTACCGCCGCGGTGGCCGCTCACATGTCTCCCGAGGAGACATATGCGGCGGTCGCCGTCTCACGATTGCCTCTGAAACCTAGGTCTGCAAACATGGGCGTTGGCGCCTCTGCCGCTCCAACAAAAAAGTAGGCACAAGCTATCGCGAATGGAAACCTCGTGAGCGAGTCAAGATCACCTTATACTGTCACTGAAGTGCCAGTTGCTTGGGGGGAAGAGCAATGTTTGTGGGTCGTACATCTGAGAAGGCAGAGGGGGGAAGAAAAGGACGCAGGATTTATATCTTGCGGAGACTTCAAGTTCGTGGACTCTTTGAGTTGGAACTCTTTGAGTTCTATTCTTGGAGGCCTGAATCTGTGTCTCACCCGGATTGGAACCTGGAAAGCCTGCGTGGGCTAGGACAATATCTAGCCACCAATTATGAAACGAGATGTACGACTCATAACCATCACGCATTTTGCAAAAACAAAAAGTCATCTTCTCTAGTATTTTATCTACGCAATGACCGTGTAGCGACACCGGTTTTGCTTTTAAAAGTGCTTGATTGAGGACTTCAACCATGGGCTCTGATGATGATCAATCAGATGAGATGGCTCTGAACTTGACAAAGGCTGCAACTGATCAAGGTCAGGGACGCCTGCCTCAGTTCCTTCCGTTACCTCCGCCAACTACAATGATTTAGATGTTTCTTTGCCAATCCTGATCGGCACGCGACCAAAACCCCAACGGATTTTTTCTGTTGTTTGTTTTCGATCGATTTGAGGGTTTCAAAGCAATGACACCAAAAGACAACCCCCTCACAGGGGTACGTGCAAATTCAACGGATGAATCCAAATCGCGCGGTTGAGAAAACTTGCGGTGGGTCCTGATCGACGATTCGATTCATTTTTCGTACGAATTACGGACACGGAATAAAACGAAGGAGCAGCATTCACCTTCAGCCGCAAGGTACCTGGTACTTCACTTGCGAACAAAAACACTTGCAAAGCATGGCTCAGAATCCCCTGTTAGGTTAGTTTTCTCACCCTTTGTCCTTTGTCTGAACCGTCAGACGACAAGGTTCAGGCGGACTCGGGAGTGGTTGTTTTTCTTCGACTGCGTGGGTTGGAATCATCGTCTTGTTCTTCGCAAAATAACAATTTCAAAAAAAACCTCAATCTACTTCACCTAATATTATAACTCATTTTCCTTTTATCGACCAGGAAATCGAATCTCCTTGATTTCGAAAAAGGATATACGATACGAAGGAATTTTATACTCCATTAATGAAGCGGACTCCACGTTAGCCCTCCAAAATGTCCGAGCGTTCGGCACGGAAGGACGCGAGAAAGTTGATTCATCGAATTATATAGGGCCTCAAGATGCTGTCCACCCTTATTTGCTGTTCAGAGGGTGTGACATTAAAGATTTACATGTCCACGAAAGTGAGGCGAAGTTAGAAAAGACCAGGGCACCTGAGGCGGCACACCACACCGCGCACACGAATGCTACCGTTTCTGATAAATCAAATACACAGCCGCAAGTGGATTCGTCGGCAACTCACGGGAAGGATGACACGAAGGTCGCTCAAAAAACAAAACCAGTGATAGTGGAACAAGGTAATATTGGATCAAACAAATCGAAGCAGTCTAGAAAGTCGATCCCAGTTCACCAGGTGGGGACTGGGGCTAGTTTATTAAGTCGAAAAGCAAGAGGAAGCGTTACTGTTGGTACGTTGCCGTGATCAAGGGCTCAATTCAATTTTCAACTCTATAGTTCGACCTAAACCAGAATTCTTCTGCCTTCAGTTCCTGCAACGCCGAGCGAAGAATTTGATATTCAATCGAAGTTGGCGGAATTCACAAAAGATGTACCATCAAAAGATCAGTCTGACGACACCGGCGATATTCTCGAACCATCCAAGTCATATGAGAAGGATGACTTTTTTGACTCGATTTCGTGCGATTCGTTGGATAACCAGCACGGAATTGACAATCGATTGCGGGGTGCAAAAGAACGAAACCTAAATACAGAAACGTTTGGTGCTGTCGCTCTGAACTCGCAGCGCCGTCGTCGACGTGGGGGTGGACGTGGGGGTAGAGGCCGCGGAAGAGGTGGACGGGGAAGGGGCCGCGGACGAAATGGAAATCGTTGGGGGTTGAGCAACAGTTCTGACTCAAGACCACAAGCCGCCACTTCATGAGCCTGAAAAATACTATGATGTCAATAGCTGAGAAAGATATAACAATAATATGTTCAACTTAATCGTGACCGACTTTGGCAATAGCGACAGCAAGTTTTTAAAAGAGTTTTGAAATAGTGTTTGCTGAACTATTTTCCCAATCGTAGAATTGTTGCTGTCACATTCAACCTTTTCTTCAACAGAAACTCTAGTAAGTCGGCATCGTCGGATCTACTTCACGCTGCCACCCGATTATCCCTCCATCTAGATTGTGTAGTCGAAGTGGATCAATACCAAGTTCGATGAGGCGATTGCATGCTTTCTTTCCGCGCACCCCTGCCTTGCAATACACCAAAATATCACCTGATATAGGCACCTGATCAATCTTGACTGAGCGATGAGGAGCGACTTCGTCTGTGAATGGCAGAGCGACGATGTCATGTTCCGTTCGCAATCTGACGTCCAAAACCCATGGTGCCCACCCCTTGGACAGCATTTCTAAGCACTTCCTCGGTTCAATAGAACGGAACGAATATTTCTCTTCTCCTGTAACCCTTTCTGCCTCGTCCATCGTCCGTCCACTTGATCCTATGATGGTTTCCTGTACTGGAGGTCCGGAGCAGAACCCATCATATGCAATAAGAGTCGATGTTTTCTTCCTTTTGCTATCTCTTGTTATTCCAAGTTCTGAAAATTTCATCTGAAGGGCATCAAAGACCAGAACACGGCCGCTTGTGATTTGGCTTCTTGGCCTCCTGAGCAAGAGCTTCAGAACCTCGGTGGCTTGGAGCTAATAATCCAATTGATGAATAAAATATTGATCACGAAGAAAGATTCGGGCGATAAACTTACGCATCCCATGGTTCCTGGAAGAACACCTAGTACGCCGCCTTCAGCACAGCTTGGTACATCACCGGGTGGTGGAGGGGTGGGGAGCATATCCCGATATGTTGGTCCGTGACAATAATTAAAAACAGACATCTGGCCTTCGAATGCAAGGATGGCAGAATAAACCCAAGGTATGTTCACAATCTCACAAGCATCATTGATAAGATATTTTGTAGGAAAGTTATCCGAACCATCCACAACAACGTCGTACTGCGTCTGTTCATCGAACCCGCCTTCTAGGATGCTTAGAGCAGTCGTTGATGTGAACTCTTCCTCATAAATGCGCACTGCAACATGAGGGTTGATGTCCCGAATTCGCTTCTTCGCAGATTCACACTTCGACATTCCTAATGTGGAAGTTCCATGAATGATCTGTCGTTGTAGATTGGATTCGTCAACAATATCTCCGTCGACAATACCAATCTTACCTACGCCTGCAGCAGCGAGATACAGAAGGCATGGTGATCCGAGGCCCCCGGCTCCGATTACCAGCACACTCGAGTTCTTTAATGCAACTTGACCATGCATTCCAACATCTGATAAGACCAAATGTCGAGAGTAACGCGAGATCTCTGTATTGGACAGACCCACAGGTTCACCACTGCGATTGGCTGACACTGAACTCGAGGAGAGTTTGTATCTACGATGACTTCTAGAGAATGCATCGGCTGACAACAATGTAATACAGATAAGAGCTAACAAAAGGTTGGGAACTCGCATGGGCTTGTTTGTAGAACAGATTACATTCATCTGAACTCTACCCAGCTGACCGTATAGAAAGGTTACGAAAGAAATAGAGAAGAAGAATTCCAGATTCTGGTGGTCATGAATACTTCAAATGACCACCGTAGGAAAGTGAACGTACAAAGTACGAAGCGGGAGGAAAGCCTGCGAAAAGCCCCGAATTGGAATGACTTGCAGCTGCATCAAAAAGCACACAAATCAATCCAACTCGGAACTTGAGCAAAACGCTGCAGGTGTTGGCTAGCGAAGGACGGACTGATCGGAACGCCAAAGTACGTATGCAAAGAAGGTACAGTAGCAGGACAGTGGAAAGCTACGTACCAAAGAGGTTGTGAAAGAAGTTGGTAAAGGAGCTGCAGCTCAGTCGCAGCTCATTCCTTTTGAAAAGACTGCTCTGTATTTGACAGAGTGAATTTGAAGTCTAGGAATAGATAGCTATTAAGATTAGGAAAGCACACGGCTCTTCTACCTGTAACACCCATCATCATGACCATTACGGACTTCACTGTGCGCAAAAAGAGCTACCGCTATCTCACCACCCAGGCGAGCTACCCAAACCATGAT